CGCTGGAGAATTTTTCTCATTACTGAATTTTACAAAATAGTGTGGAAATGATTTGACTGGAGATGTTTCTCCAGTATGCAGGCAATAGTGACCTACAGATGCGCATCATTCAGCACACTCACAATGATGTTTAGCTCCATGAAACAGAAACATGATGAAATAAGAGACTCAGTTGCACAGGTAACAGGGAGTCCCAGGTAGGTACAGAGGGACCTGAGCAGAGGCTCAAGGAACCAGGTTGTTCTCTCTTCTAGTTTCATCGGGGTTGTCAGAATGAACACCATGCTGGGGTACCATCCACAGCACAGTCAGGGAGAGGGAAATGGCAGGAGCTGAGTCTGCAGCAGATGATGACAAAATGATCAGCAAATTCTACCCCCTCTTCTATCTCACTAGGAATTCACATGCACAGGAGTCCAAGAAACTGAAATGTTTAACTGGCTACACCGAACAAAATTGGGACTATTAAGTAAGGAAGAAGAGGGAAGAAATAACAGTGTCTTCTATATTGGAGGGAAAATGTAGGGACACAGAAGCACAATATCAGATGGTAAAATATTTAAGCCAACTGAAAATACAATAAATAGGAATACATACCTACCAAAGGTTAAGAACTTTTTACAACAGCTAAATCTTGGAGATCTCTTGTCAAGTAGTATTAAAAAAAAAGTGCATTAACATTTCTGTAAGTCTGGTAGGACTAGCTTTTCTAGTTGCCCAACATGAAAAATCAAAATGTCAGCAAGGATAGTAATAAAGCATACTTCAGATAATAGTTCCTTTGTCAATCAAATTAAACAGGCATAGAAATATTTTAGATATAACTGAGGTTTTTTTGTATTTTTATAAATAATATATAGAAATCGAGGATAATTGTCACTTAATATCAAATTCACAGCACTTAGTAAATTATTCCTGATACATTTACTTGTGAGGCCATCAGACTCATTGTGAATATAAGATCAATCAAAATGATTAAACAATTAAAGGTGGAGGCTGCTTTCTTCCAGATCAATGAAAATCACAGAACAGTTACAGGATATACTTCAGACCAGCCAAACATCTATATTCCCAAGAAATGCCAAATTTGAATACGAAAGTTCATCAGACACCAATTACAAACTTTGGTGAACTTTAGTTTGTTGATAAGAGTTTCCCTATTTAGTACATTCTATATACAGAAAATATTCTCTAAGGAGTGTCACGTTATATGCTGCCATTCAAATGATTTTTTTTCTCAAAATTTAATAAATGTATACTCTAGATTACTGTATAAGTGTGTTATTTCACTGTCTGAATTTCAGTTCACAAATACAAAGGCATCAAGAAAAGCTACTTTCACTGACTTAATTTACTGATAATAGAAGCAAGCTGGACCTCATGTCAAATAGCATATCCATGAAGCATCAAGGCCAAATGTTGCTGGATATGAACACCCAGGAGAACTCGGTGCAGAAACTTAACTGTGAAAAGTAATAGGGGAACTGAAAAAGCCCTTGACTTCCAAGGATAGACTGACACATTCAAATGAGCTGGTAGTAGCCACCACCACATTCATGATTTGTGCAAGAGTCTAGATTTAAAAAGACATTTGCTACATTAAATTAATGCTGTTTATTTAAATGTAATGGTTTTGCTGTTTTCATTGTATTTAATTTGGAAAGATATTTCATTTTATAGTAGGATAATGGATATGGACAGAAGGAGTTTAGTCCTGTTTTATTTTTATACATACTTAAGTAACATAATCAAAACAATTTAATTCAATTCTACAGTACTAAGATATTATCTTTCCTTTAAAATATTATTCACATCTGAGAGACTTTTCTATAGCTGTCTCTTGACAGGAAAATGGAGGTAATGCCATATCTCCAAGCCCAGTTCATATTCAATTACTGGTAGGTGAAGAAGTACTTTATAAATGCAATAATATGTAACTTTTGGTACTAGTAACATCCTTGTTTAATGGACATCTTATTCTTTATAAAATGATGATTGCCAAAAATTTAAGCTTCTGTGATCTTTTATGTAAACAAGTAAATCATATTGGAGTTGGAAATATCTTCAAAATCCACTAGTTCAATCACTCTTTTGGGGTACAAATATAAAAAGATTTCTAATCCCAAGAGGTAAATGTCTGGGTTGCTCTTCAGCAAGACTATGGTATTGTCGACAATGTGATTTTCAAGCTGTTCACTGCTTACGTGACTAATCTCCATAATGAAAGTGTCCTTTATTGAGTGGGTTACTAATGGGAACTAGTTACGAGGTTGTTTCAACTTCATGCCAGCATGGTGCTGAGTAGAGACTGCAGGCAGGAGTGCTGGAGACTTGAAGCAGACCCAGCTATGAGCTATCATTCCTGTATGCTACTGTATGACTGCAGGAAACCCAGGAACCCCAAACTGTTAATGGGTACATGATGTAAAAGGATAGCTTCTGGCAGGAAACCCATAAGAAAAGGGTTAGACAAGCGGGTATCAGAGAGTATACAAGGAGATACCATATCAAGAAAATGACTTGCATTTTCAAACTCCCAGTGGGTTACCCACACATCCCCTGCATGTCACCCTCCTATATGCCTCCTCCCAGGAGCACTGGCACCTCCCAGGTGAGCTGAAGCAAGAGAGAGCTACCTTCTGTGCTACATAGGCTGCTGAGCTCCGCTTCGATTTCCCAGGAGCTCCCCTGCTGAGGAAAGTTGCATGGGGTACTGAGGTTTATAATGCAACGCAAGGAGACTGCATTGGAAGTGGGGGCAGGAAAATTAGTGCCCTTTTATGCTCTGAAGTGCTCCTCTCCTTTTTGTGGAGATACCACTGTAATTTTGACAATTGTGGAAACAGTCACGAGAGATTCAGATTCTTATAAGGCCCTGAGGTTTACAATGGTTTTAAAGCAACCTTTTCTGAAACGCAGAAGCCAGAGCTGGATCTCTCACTTGAGGTGGAACTTCTGAACTATGTGAACACTGATACAAAAATGTAAACACTAGTTTTTAGCTTTTCTAACTAGACGTAGAAGGTTTGGAAATGACTAATGCTTTTATCAGTATTAATGATTTTATCACTAATGCTGCTTTTATCATTAACCATTAAATAATTTTCTTACTTTTCCAAAATTCACTAACTGGCAACACCAGCACTTCTAGTATATCCTTTCTCTTTCTTTACTCCTACCCACAAGAAATTACTTTCAATGGGCCATTTATGGTCTTCAAATGCCATGTGAGCTACAAGTAGCTTTCTAAGTGGAACAAATAACAAATCATTTTTTAAAAGAAATATGACATTCGTTGATAATCTTGTTCTTTAAATCCTGACAGACCTGTGTACTAATAAGCACTATAAACTTTTTAAATGATTACACCAAAGGGTTTACATAAGCCATAGCCGCCTAAGCTAACTCACATCAGTAACTCATTGCAGTCAACAGCAAAAACATTTTCGTTAAGCAATAAAGAAATTGTGAAACCCAACAAACCCAAAAAAGTAAACATGTGAGAGTTTTTACTTTGAAATTGGTGTTTCTTTTTGCTATTCATTGAGATACTTCCTTATGGATTAGCCTGAAGGTTATCTTCTGTGTTTGCAAAACTCTATTATTAAAAATACCTGGAAAGAAGCAACTAAAACACAGACTGCATGCAAAACATAGTAATCAGATAACACATAGGTCTTGTAGATGAAATGCATCTGTGGTTTACCAGCGGTTCTTAAAGTGCAGTACATGAAATGAGTAGCACCAGGATCAGACCTGGGCACTTCTTAGAAAAGCAAATTTTCAGGCTCTACTCCAGCCCACTGAATAATAATTCTGGGGAAAGGTCAATCAATTCGTGATTTTTTTTTAATTTCTGAAATCACTATTTCTTTTTGTTTATAGTCACATAACATTTACAGTAAGGAAACTTAGAAAACCAAGTTCACATAGATAATATATATATTTTTTTTAATGAGACGTTTTTGTCTTAGTGAAAGCATTTCCCAATTTGGTTGGAAAAAAACAATATAAGTACGATGTCAACTTGCTTTTATAGAGTAGATGTTTTCTAATACAACTTTCTGTTTACCTAATATATATCAGATGCGTGCTACTTCTTGAAAACTGCTAGTTTTAAGTGAAACCTGGTATTTTTAGAATGTTCAAAGTCAAGCACACCTATAAAGCAACAGTGATAAGAAACCAGCATAAGATGTGATGGAATTCTTGTACTGTTAATTATAATCACATGCATAAGTTAAAGTAAAAGGAAATAAGTATTGTTTTCTTCATGAACTCAACTTTTTATGGTATTTGAATATATAAATAGAAGGGTGGGAAAAGGTCTGTTTTCAAATTGTTGCAGTTAAAATTTGAAATCCATAATAAACCATTAGATAGTCAAAAATATATAGCCATATAGTTATTAAAATTTAAATAAAGCCATTATCATATAGTTATGTTCCTTTATCTGATAGTAATACGCACAAACAGACCTGTAATCTGTATTATTAAAACTTTACAACATGGACTATACTATTCTCCATCTCATTAATTAATTCTCTAATAGTATAAAATCATGTCATTAAAAACAGTGGTTTTCTTAATCACCCATAATTGGAACAACTGATATCATTCCTCATCTATTTACTTATCACAACTAAATACTACCCAGAAATAAAAAGCAATATAGCTTAAATAGAAGAATCTTATTTTCAAGTTTGCTTTTTATTTGAGTTATAAACCAAAGCTTAGTCCTCTGGTCTGAAATCATTTTAAGGACAAAATGAAGTGTGTTAGAATCATTAGAAAACTATCAAATATCTACTGCTTTTTCCAAAGCCTTTGATTTGTGTAAAAATCAATACATTTAGACACAATGGCATTTTAAAGGTCGTTAATAAAAGGCAGTCCTGATTGGAAAATTGATGAACAATTATTGTTCATATTGAAAACTCTTATTGAAAACTATATAAAAGTAGATTTGGAAGCAATGCCCTGATTGCTTTAGAACCTACCTGTCTCCAGCTGAAGATTTGGAATTCCGTGGCTTCTTCACTTGAGCATACAAAGCATCCATCATCAGCCCTTCTTTGGGGCTCTGGGGTCTGGCATTAAGAGCCATGGAACCTTCATAGGAAGAAATTCCCCTGTATATCAACTCCTCATCACATCCAAATGTCCGATGAAATTCTTGTATTTCAGCATAGTCACGCTCTCTAGCTTGTCGTTCTCTAAATTCTCGAGTCTTGGCTTGAATCCTGTAAAAACCAAAAGCAAGCTTAAATAAGAAAAATTCTGTCCTTCAAAGAATTGCATATAAATGTTCATCCACGTCATTCCTTCATCATAATATTCATTCATCATAAATCTATGAAATACATTTTATTTCTTTTGGTATAAATGAAGTTATACTTATTTTAGACAGTCAAGGTAACATTATAAATGCTCAGGGTAATTGCACAAACTTTGGTTCATGTCAATAAGATAAAGCCATAATTTGTATCTTAATTTAACATTTTACAAGCACAGTTAACTTTAGGTATCCACTTGGGCTCTACTCATTAAGTTTTTAAAATAAAAAGGTTTTTTTTTTTTTTTACAAATGTCATGCATATGCATACACGATATGTCTGTCCATTTGTGTGTGTATAATGTATAGGTTGTATTATGAATAAGCCATAAACCTTCAGCATACTAGGAAGCTTAAGTAAGAATCAACAAAACAATTCCTTTATAGTGGCTAAAGAAAATCAGAAGTTGAATTACAACAACTTTGATTTTATGTGATGTATATAAGAATTGGCAAGTCCTAAGATTAAGGGTAAGAAACATGTATCCACTCAAATTCTCAAATAAAAACTTTTCTGAATTAAAAATAAGAAATCACTCTTAGGTAACTTTAAATGCTTCCTAAGACTTTATTAAACTACGGAGTACAATGGACAGTCTATAATAAATTGCTGTAATTTATGTCCTAAGTTGATCGTATTTATCTAAAAATAAAATTCCCTCAAGAGAATTTTGATGACTTTTGATGGGAAACCATATTTCCTTTCCAAAGTCAATAACATGTAGCAATATTGAACATGGAGTTTAATGTCTTATTGCAGTTTTTTTATTCATATTTGACATAGATCACTGCAAGCATAAATGACACAGTCAACACAGAAAATAGGAAAATCAGATGAAGACAATACAAAGAAGCAAACTGACAAATACAGGGTAATGCCAATCATGAATAATAAAATTTAATGATACATAAAAATTAGTCACCATGAACCAGAAATAGCATAAATGCAAGGCTAGTTCAATATTCAAAATCAATCCATATAAACCACCATATTAAATAGGAAAAATCAAATGACCATCCTAATTAATGCAGAACTTCTTAATTTTTGATAAAGAGCATCTACAAGAAAAACATCAGAGATCACAGAAAAAGCCTGACTGCTTTTCCTTAAGATTAGGAGTAACATAAGGATATCTGTTCTCACTCCTATAATCTAACATGGTGCTAGAATTTTTAGATTGGAAAGTAAGAAATAAAAACTATGCTTGCTTGCAGATGACACAATGACATATTTAGAAAGTTAAAAGGAATCTATAAAAGATACTAGAACTAAAAAGTGAATTCCACAAGTACACAAAACACAATGTCAGCATACAAAAATTTGTTGTATTTCAATATACTGGCAATGAACTCAGATGCTAAAATTAAAAATACAGTGCCATTTACAATCATCCAATCATTAAACACTGAAATGCATGAATATATGTAGGTAAAAATAAATTAAAAGTTGTCTTATGCAAGTATATAGAAATGTAGTTATAAAACTAACAAAATGCACAGGATTTTCATATTGAAAATACACGATGCAGATGAAAGAAAAACGTGTCTAAAAAATAAGAGTCATTCTGTGATATGTATGGAAAAAGTTAACAAAATAAAGTAGGGAATTCACTTCAAATTGATACATTTAATTTAATTTCTATAAAACGCCTGTAAGAACCTTACAGATATAAACAAGATTATTTTTATACTTAAGTGAAAAGGCAAAGTACAGAATAAGCATTTGTGGAAAAGAACAATAAAATGGAATGAATCACACTTCCTGATTACAAGACTTATAATATAGCAATAGATAGTAATCAAGGCTATTGAGGAATAGACACATGAAACAATGAAACAGAATTAAGAGGATAGAAATAGCTAAAAAGTAAGATCAATTGATTTTTCACAATTGTGCAAAAGCAATTCAATGAAACAATTTTTTAAACAAATAGTGTTGGAGGAACTATATAACCACAAGCAAAAAGAAAACAAAACAAAAATATTTTATAAGCCTGAAATAAAACTTGACACCTTAGACAAAACTTAAAACAGATCACAGATTTAAATGTAAAATTATAAAACTTTAGGAGACAACATAGAAGAAAATATTTAGGAAAAGGGTTAGGTGCATGTTAGAAATGATACTAAATGCATAATCCATAAAAGTAAAAAAGAGACAAACTGGACATCATCAAAATACAAAATATTTTCTCTGTGAAAGACTCTAGGGAAGCGCCTTGGTGGCCTAGGGGTTAAGCCTCACCATTTTCACCATTCTGGCCGAGTTCAGTCTCCAACTTTGATTTTAGGACAGGGAACTGACCCACAGAAGGCACAAGAGACCACGCCTGTCTTACCTGCTGCTCCCCTCAGTATTTCTGTACATCTGCCCATTCTGCTCCCCACTCTGTCTCTGGTGAATCCTCCCACCTTTATTCACCCCTGGTCTACACACCAGTTCTTTTATGCATCAATCAATCAATCAATCTGTCTTTTTAAAAAGAGAGACTGTAGGACTAGAATAAAAGATTATGAAGGGTTGGGTGAAAAAAATTTAACATCATATTTGACAGAGAACTCATGTCTAGAATATATAAAAAAAATTCAAAATTCAGCAACAGTGAGATGACATATAAGTATATGAAAAGGTATTCAACATCACTGGTAAATAATCAAATACAAATTAAATTCACATTGAACTATAACTACACAGTATTAGGTCAATTAAAATAAATAATAGATACATCCCTGTTCAGATTTCTCTTCTTTCTCCTTTCCCAGCTATGAAAATACTTAAATTCATCTAGTTGAGTATTTCTAAACAGTATCCAGTGACATTTGAGAAGGTAATTTACTGTTGTGCAGGACTTCTCATAAAACTGATTCCAGTCATAAGCAACAATGTCCCCAAGTTATTACGGCAACACAAAATTCTTCATATATTTTTAGAACTTCCCTAGGAGTAGCTGGTTTCCTGTGTTGAAAGAAAATTTAGCTCATATATGAATACAGTAAAGTTTGATAATTTCATTAGGAGAGGCCTAGATTCCAACCAATATAAGGTCTACAGATAAAATTTTAATAAGAGAATTTCAGAAGAAAAACTACCCACAAGAAAAATCAAATTCTAATGTCAAACTTAGATGAATTTATACTAGATTTCTTTTATTGCAGTCAACTGTCTACTTAATTATGACAGTAGGTACGTTATTATAAAAGCTAGTTACCACTGAACACTGGCTACCCATGATCAAAAGCTCATAAATGTTCAGAGTTTTTTCTTTCTACCACATCAAAATCTTTTTTTGACTCTGTATTAGGTAGGAAAACTTTAGAGAGGGTAATTACTTCTTTATTAACTTTGTGATATATGAAGTTCAATTTTGATCACTTATCTGACAACTCACTTCAGTACAAACCACCATCAGACAATCACCTAATCATGGTAATATCCAGGGTGACTAGAATTCATACAAATCTTGAAGTGTATAAATCTAAAGAAATTTAAAGTCTATGATATAAATGAAGCCTAAAGTCTGAAATGGGAGAATTTCCTGAAATCACAGGGAGTGACTTGGATTAATAAACTGAATTTTAATGTATTTGAATCAATTCATGAAAAAGGAAGGTAAGTTGGAAAGCGTAAGCATATTAAGAAGGAAAGTTATCTGAAGAAGAGAATATGAACATCCTCTTCTGAAGGGAAGCACAAACTTAAATCAACTCCCCAGATGTCTTGCACATCAATTCCATTAAATACTGGTGGGTCTACATTTGGAGATTCTTATATTTCAGCCTATATACAACCTAATCATCTATTGAGGTTATTTTCTAACAAATCAACAGCTCAGAATAACAGCTCAGCAGCATGAGATACTCACATTCCAAATTTCTCACATTATATTTTACACAAATTTGCACATTACTACTAATTGCCACTAATGACTTAATCCAAACAAACATTACAGCCTCATTTGGAGTATCCTCTAAAATCTTTTTCTTCTAAGCATCAATGACATGAGGAATTAGACTTCCATTGTTTATCTTGTCATCACCAGTGAATTTATCACCAAAGTTATAAAGGCTGTTTTCAACCTTTGTCACCCTGGCAGTTTACAGTTGGAATGAAAAACTTAGAATAAAGCCTACACCATAGCTCTGATCAATGAAGGTGGGATTGTGTTACAAAACACTAACAAATTTAGCTACTAGCATGAATTAATGTGCAGTTTAAAGTTCATTCTAGAAGTTAACGTAAATGAAGTTCATGCAAGTGGCACTGAAAATGGATTTAAATACTAGGAATGCACTGTAGTTCTTGAAAATTTTAGTGACAATTCACAGTCAAATTGACAAAAATACAAGTGATTTTACTATATACTTTTACTCTTAGATGTATTATTTATTATAAAGATAGAAGTGAAACTCACAACACAAGTGAAAGGTTATATTTATGTTAAATGTTTTCATTATTTGTGGAGAAACTCTTTTCAGTAAATAAATATTTGGCTCAAGGAAGAAAATATATTTGGTATCTTAATACAAACCGCAGTTTCTTAAAGAAACTTAGAAATGATAGTGAACATCTCACAGTTGATTCCTTCATGTTCCAGATGATCAATGCTACAACGTACACCCCTTTATTCTTTATTATGACCCTGAGGTCATACATCATTTTTTAAATCTTCTGAAAGTGTTGTTTAGCTTTATCCATCCCATTTGTCTTGGGTCAAACCTTAGCAATGACAGAATAAGGGATTCTGCCAAAACTTAGCCACAGAAAAAAATTGTTCAATGTTTTATGCATTTCACAAAGTCCTTTCAATGTATAAACAAACAAAAAATACTCAGACATTTAAATGAAAACAGAGGCACTGACTAGCTAGAATGGGCAACATCATCATGTACCATTTCACTATTCTTTAA